TCCATGTTTGAACATTTCCCTTCCAGTATCAACCTCGACCATGGCCTGTCTGTCCTTTATCTGGCTTATGTTGAACGACCATTGAGAAACAATCGCAAATGACCTTTATTCAGAACTTGGTGGATATGTATTTCTGGTTTCATACCACGAGATCACTCACAGATTTTTCTAATGTGTGTTCTGGTTGATGGCCGGTTTGTATCCGTTGACCAAGATGTCCGTTTATACCTGTCCATAGTCAGTTTAACACGGCCCAATCTAATCCTCTACGGGAGGGCGCAGCGAGAACGTGCACAGGACCAGAGGATTTTGAGTGAAAATATTACTTCACAGAATGCATGCTGAGGTGATAGTTGTGAGCGGTGCTGATGCATCGTCCACTGAGAATATTTGCTGTTGCTTTCCATTTGATACAGACGCCTGCGCCCCAAGTTTGGGGTTTACCCCTTCAGAACCTCTATCTGAAAATATGCCTCAAACTGTTTGTTTTTTGAGAGCTTGTTGTCAATCTCACATGGTAAACGATGATCATGCTTACTGATGTCGGACTTCTAACGCATGATGATCCGACATTTGTCCCCCTTAGGCTTCAACACGTTCTGTGTTTCATTTTCTGCTCCCCTCTCCCTGTAACACACAGGTTTATGATATTTTTGTGTCCAATTTCCAAATTCCGTGAAACTCAGTTGGCCATGTAAGTAAACCCCCGCAAGGTAAGAAAAACAACTAAGTGATTACGCAATATTGAATAGAACGTAATAAGTTAATATTGACCGTTCTATGGTTATAGTAAAGAAGATACGCTTTCTTTGCTGGTCGGTCACCCGTGTTTGAGTAGAGTAGAGTGAACATCTGGGTGTCAAATCTTTTGATCAATCCGAATTATTAAAATTAGTTGCGTTTAGTAACAGGAGTGAGATTAGACGTTATCAAATAAACATCTAGATTATAGAACTGTTTTGTTTGTTTTCAACGAAAAATGAATCTTAATTCCAGTATGTGGTGTTCAGTCACGGTTTACCGCTTCAAAAAAAATTGAACACGATCGGTTGTTATCAGTTAAATTATCGCACTTTATTGTTTGTCAATACAGATCAAGACCATAAATTAGTGTTCCATGGAGAAAAAAGTCAGTTGAGTACGCGAAGGATTATGCACCAAGGCAGAATGAAGCACAAATTGTTTGCGTGGGGGTGGTGATGTAACAACAGTCATCAAAATGTATACGTAGTGCATGGTGCTACTAACGCAAATAGTTAATGATCTGTCTCACAGACGCCTGACACTGTTGACTTTCACATCAAGGCTTGATATGTCATGTGATCCCATGCGTCTTCGTGCAGAATCCAGTTTATCGATTTTTGTCACGGATGTGTAGTTTAACATTGCTCGATTGCTCCTCAGGATTGAATATGGCTAGAAAAATGACAGGTAGTAATTATGGAGATACCCGGAACAAAACAGAAAAGTATAAACTTAGTGAGTTACAAAGTTTCACTGAAACAGTATTCCGTTTTCTACTATTGTCATTGAAAAAGATTTTCCCTTTTATGAAACAGTAAAACAACTAGCCAGGTTTTGGTAATTTCTAAAGTAAGAAGGATTCTGACTGGTATTGGAACTGGCACTAAAATCTAACGGTATGATAAAAATCTCTTCTGTTCCACAATGGATTTATATCTTGTTCTGAATCGATAAAAACAATGTTTTCGATATGCATTTTAGGGACGCTGGATATTAATTTTCTGATTTCCCACGAACACCATTAATTCCACTCGGTTGGTTTTGTAAAGTGAATTCTAAATTACGAAGTTAAACCCGGTGATGTTAATTTATTCAGACTGCATTCGAAAGGCCAAGTTCGGTCTGGCTTGAGAAATCGATTCTCTATTTGAGAATTTCGGAGCTTGATCATAACTACCAAGTCTCTGTAAATAAAAAGACTTTAATGAAGCAATGTTGTGAGACCTGAAACAACTGAATTTCCGTGCAAATTATCTCTGTTGTTCTACGCATCCGTTGATCTAACGGACAATTTGAGCTCTGAGATCTTGACACTTAGTCAAATTGACTCAACGCATAGATCGCTGTGTGTAAACTGTTTTTCCCGGTTCATTCATCTGGAATTTACGTTTTAAACAGGAACTGTTCTTCCATAGTCTGTCATTTTAAACTTTTTATTTTAAATAATCGGTGAAAGTACTGTCTTAGCACCTCTGCTTTCTAACAAATAAGATGGGACGCATGGTTAGTTAAACTGATATACACAAGTAGTTCTAAGTCAAGCAAACGACAAGCTTTTGATCATTATGAAAAGACCAAAACGGTTTCTCGAGTGTCATATTTCTCACCGCGATCCGGCTACTTGCTGAACTGAAAATCTGAAATAGCATGTTAAACAAAGAAACGTGGTACCCGGTGACCATCGGTTTGAACATCCCAAAATTCTGTTTTCTTACTACTCGTGTCGCTTCCAGATCAAAGGAGTATCGTGTAAATGTGTCCACATTGAGTGGCAGTATGAATCGTGTACCATTTTGGGTCAGTTTTTTGTCGTCGAACTTTGATCACACGTACGTTCAGATCCGACTTGTTATAGCAAATAAGTCTGTGTATGTGTGTGCAGAGACCTCGATATCTGCGTCTTATCAGATACAAAAGATAAAACGCTCAATTATTCTGCATTTATTGGAAGCAAGCCAAACAGAAACGGTCGATAAAACAAACAACAGCAGCGTGGCTGTCAGACAACCAGATGTTAATTGATATTTTATTTTTTCGGACTTCTGCTTTTACTCACATTAAATTTTAAAACTATTTTACAAAGGATACCAGTGAAAAATGTTCTAAAATTGCACCGATAGTAATTTAATTACTTTCATTTTTCACACCCGTTATGCTCATACCCTGTCCCTCTGAACATCAAACGCACATTAAAACTATCAGTTGTAACTTGTGACTTGTATCCTGTCAACTTCCGAATCTGACGCAAGTTAGCGCAGTTTAAAAGGTGATGCTCACTTTCGTCTCTTCATTCTACTCTGGTACAACAATGCCTTTCTGAAAAGGTTTGGCAATTAATCTTCTATAGGTAGACCTTCACAACACACTTTTGCAATTCAAGTAAGTGTTTTATTCTTTGGTTTGCAGGAAACTTATAGAAATTCCCGCATTTATTTTATCGAAAAAATAATTTGCGATCTTACATACGTTCATATTTCTGAGTGTTCGGGGATATCAGGTAGAAAGGTCGAATGCTGCCATGCACGCACCGCGATACACCTTCCAGATAGCCGACCACAGTATTGCAATTGCAATAATCAGGGTGATCTCCTGCTCGTGAAATCGGATAAACAAAAATTCAGAGTTACCATTCCGAATCTATATGATAACCTGGTCTCTTATTGGACAGTTTAGAATTAACCAATGATAGAATGACTGATTTATTGAAACTTTTATTATCCATTTTTCCGTGCTTACTAGCACAATCAATTGTGTCCACAGCTCGTCTACGTTCTACCTGCTTATCCGTTATTCGGTGAATCGTGTTGTTTTAGTGCCCACACAATTAGGTACACGACCTTGCTATTCCAATACATTTTACCAAGTTTGTCGATTGGGATTTATTCTCTGAAAACCGCTTATAAGTATAATTTATTACCTAACATGAATTATTACTTGCAAAATACGATTCCAATCAAAGTTTTGAATTCCCAATGTGCTCGATGCTTTTATTTTGATATCACTTGATTCTGATCTGGCCAATTTTTAATTGAACAAACTAAAATATTTTTTACGATCGAATGACGTTCTGAGACCGTATCTCCAAGCTAATGAATGCAATTCGATAGAGTGAGATAATGCGCATGACTTTTACGTTTTAAAAAATGGTACTGTGTAGTCTGCTTTACCATGTTCAATGCACTCGGAGAGGGAAACACATTGTTATTATGGCAGTAAATGAGCAACGAGATTTCGGCATTCTCCAAGTGTGTGACGATTTCACGTTCAAATTTTGTAAATCTGGCGGTTGAATCTTTCGTGTTTCTTGCCCTAACAATATCCATTATCACATAATTCTCCTACCCCTCTTCACTGTCCTCCTTGGCACCATTTGACTAAGATCACTATTGGTTTGTAACTGATTTAGAGTGGATGAGTTGGAAATAAACGATTGTTAAAGTATGCGCTGTTCCACTTGACGAATGAGGCGTACACTTTGATGGAGATGAATACGAAAGTGGTAAACGCGTAGGGATGAGATGCAGTCTGTGAGAAAGTGAATTGAGAAAGATAAGAACTGGTAGCACGAGTATGCAGTTGAATATCTTCATTACTTTAGCTGACCACGAATTCAATGCACCTTAATCATGGATTGCAGTGTTTTTGTTTAAATCATCGGTTACAAGTAATCTCAATTGAGATACGCGTATGAGTAAAATTAGGATTTCCGTTTTCTCTAAAACCAAAGCAGTTATGATGATTGGCCAAACAGAGATGAAAATATTCACGACCCGTCTTATCACATAATGGCAAACGGTTTTCACATGACATTGCCCATGGAAGCATTCTTTGAGACCAGTAGTCGTTATCTAATTCATTCCAATGAAACGTTTTCCAGTTATTCGCAGTCTGTTTCCGGAGTGGAGTGAAATGTATTGACCAGTTTATTGGCAGTAGATTTACCTAGTTAGCAGTGAAAAAATTTCAGTTTCTGATTTGGTTTATCCAAAAATATTCAAACATGAGGTAAATCTTATTCTCGGATAAATGAGTTCCATTTTTTGTTTTGTTGCCCATTTTCATCACTTTCAAGTGGTCACCACATTTGGCTGTGTTGTGATTGCTCTTAATTACAGTTTGTTGCACGATCTAATTTTTTTCGGAACATTATTTTTAGGTTATCCCATACAAAATGATGTTTGGACACCAAGTAGTCTTGAAGGTCTCAGGTGTGGGTTTCACCTCTTGGGACTTCGTTCGTTCTTTCCCCTAATGAGTTAACCACATCTTATTACTTATGGAACCCTGTCCATCTTTTCAAAGGATAGGCAACTCCCCCAGGTTTCATAACTCATTAAATGATAGCTTAGATTAGGAAGAGCATGTATCGATCAAATCAAACACAAGCTAATTGATAATATCCAAAGAAAATGATATATTTTGTTATGAATCATCTGCAAGGGGGTGTGTTGATCTTTACATTTTGTAACTCGGTCATTCTCGTGAATTTTGTTTTCTGCCCTGAGCTTCGACGTTCGAAATATGAGCGTATGCCATTCGTTCAGATTGGTTGCATTCAAACCGGTGCTACTCAAGTTTTCGTCCTTATAAGGTAGGCTTGTGCGCAACTCCTGTCATCCAAATCGGAAGATTTGTTGTTACAAATTAACAGCTATTGAGGTTATAGGGAAGAACATCATAGGTTTCTGCACTGGTCGATCTCTACAAGAATGTCTGCATAGCATTTTCAATGGAGCAGTTTTATTGAAAACCCCTAACTCTGGAGTCCACCTTCGAATCTCACAGATGTAATTTCAAAAATAGCAGACCTGAAAATTATGTTAATTTTACAGTTGTACCGAATCATCTCCGATAGATTTGGATGCAGATACAAAGTTGTTTATGCTCATTCGCTAACCTTAAAACAAGTAATCAACGTTTATCGACTAATGAACGAAAAACAAAATCATTCTGTTCGAGACTGCTGTACGCAATTCGTGTACAAAAAGCGCTCATGGGGCTTGAACTGGGCGGTTCAATGACGTGAGCATAGTTCAAAGAACATTTCCACTCGTTTCAACTGCGCGACAGATAAGTAGTGATTCATTCACACCGGATATTTTCAGTCCAAACCTAGATGAATGTTCAAATCGAGCATCGATGACGTGAATTGAAGAAAGGAATGAACCTCTATCAAAACTAAAAGTATCACGGGAGTTGAACATCGGTTTAAAATCAATTGCTGAGAATGAGCCTAGGATAAACTAGCACACATTCGGTCTGTGTAACATGCTGTCTTTGACCAGTTCTCTACTGTACATTTCAGCACTGGAATTTGGTTGAATAGTGAAATAAACAAAACTATTTGGCCAAATTGCGTTTTGGCAGAGTGAAGTTTTTTTATGTCGAGATTGTGAAAAGTTCAGTAGCCTCAGAGGGATTCGAACCCACGCCTGGACGCCGCCTGCGCTTTTGGACAGCGCACGCTCTACCAGCTGAGCTACGAGGCAACACCGATGGCACATTCGAATTACCCATCCAACTTACATTGAAAGGGAATAGAACTACTTTCAGAAACTAACTCATCACCGTGTACTCTAATAGTTCCATAGGTTTGTTCTCCAGCTCTGTTGTAGCATTTGGCAAAAGAGCAACATGATGGCGACGGGTGTTCTATCTTCCGTGACCTATTGTGCGAATTCGCAAATGTCGGTCATTTCTCACAGATTATACTACGGAAGTAAATGGCTATTAAGAAACAGGCCCCGGCTGGGTGTTTTGTGCACAAATGGATTAATGTTTTTACTTGGTTTGTTTCATAAACAAAAGTTTAGCTTCCGGAAAGGGCGCCGCGACTGATTACCGTCACCAAATAAGTAGTGGGAGGGTGCGGTGGCAGTGGCTGGATCAGAACTCACGAACTAAAAAACGTTGATCGGGCGGCTTACACGGCAAGATCATTGACGATCGGGTAGTGTTGTGGATTGATCAATTTTTTAATCGCTGGCAGCAGCTAACGTATCGGTGCGCTTTCCGTTGACTGACTTAAACATTCACCTGGTCTTCGATTCCATCGATAAGAATGTATTAGGAAACTGGTTATCGGGAAATTGGGCATCAAGAAGTATATATCAATCCTCAAATTCATTATATCGAACCTCAAGTCAGAATAGAGTACACGGCCAGTATTCATCATGCTCCGGTGTCCCCGGTGAAGTATGATAACGCCATATCTTGTCCCCCTTCGATTTCGATGTTTTTCACAAAGGATGAAACAAACACTACTACTTCGTTCGGTCAAGTAAACAGTGAAGCCGACCTCCTTCCAGAGCATTGACTTTCGAGTATTGTAGACACTTCGAAGTACAAGATACTACCACAAGACTGGTATATGCCTACGTTTGCACGCACCCCCTTCTAGCGTTATACTTACAAAAGGCTAGAGTTATTTGTTTGGAGAACAGTCTCGGATTGGAATGAATATGATTACACAGAATGCAACCTCTAATTGGCAACAATTGGTTAGCATTTTCGCGATCGTTTGTTCATCTGTGACCGCCATTCTGACAATCTGTTTGTATCTTCCGTTGTTACAACAGTAAATTGTTTAACCCATTCGCGGATGCCGTTGGAATCTAACAACCACTACTTGGTGCACGCAAACTACTCACAAATGTGAGTAATAGCTCACAATACTAGAACTGACCGAAAGCAATAGCTAAGTCAGTAGTCTAATTATAACTGGGGATGGTTTTAGGGAAAGTTCCACGCTGCGATTTGCTCTGTTCTTGCAAAACCTAGCCGCTCCGCCCAAGTCTCCGAATCAATATTTTTCCGGTGAGAACATAGGATGCGCGGTTGATGTTCGTTTTGAGTGAATATAATTGCTCTATACTGCATTCAATGGTCCGGGCATGTATACACCCTCAAATTTGTCTGTTCTTACTCTTTTCGAAGTGATGAGTAAAGCTTGAGGGAGCTATTTCGCGATCAGACGATGACTTGGCCCTGAGGGTATAAAGAAGCTAAATTCAATTGGCGATTCCCGCCTTACTCGTTACGGTAGCAGAAATGAGGACAGAAAAGTTGGGTAACTGCATTGTATTGTATTGTATTTGTGTAGAATTTTGCATGCACAGTTGTCCGGATCTCAGTCAAAAATCACGCATCACCTCATCGAAAGAAGGGAGTAACGATAAATATGAAATGTATTGTCACAACTTCTGCTAGGTCGTTCCTTCTATTTTACTTCTTACTTCTTACTTCTTATATCGTAAAATAACGGGAAAATGACATTCGAAGATGTACGGTCACAACAAAGATGCCTTACGTAGTACTTGCTTGTTTACAAACGAGTATGCATCAAGCATAGTCGAAGTATCACTCACCACTGAAACACTTCAGGTGCACTGCACGGCGGTCTCATCTTTGTTCCGAATGTCTCAAAGTGCATATCCATCGAGTCCACTAGGATTCGAACCCGAGCACGAATACTACTACTACTATTAGCACGAATACTTGCTAATACTACGCAGCAACGGCTAATTTGGACGGTGTCCAGCTACTGCCTAGGACGCTGCATCAGTAAATCGATCACTGTCCAATGATTTCAACGACAGCAACGGATGAATGCTCTATCAGATGTTATTGATGTGTACCAATCTGTTCAGAACTACCCCCGGATAGTAGCTCACAAATCGGAATAACAACCCCTCCTGTTCGGATCCCAATCCCTGTGGATTCGGTGGATATGGACTTTGGATGATTCATGACAAGTATGAAACAGTCATGAAGTGTTACCAAAACTTTTCAGTGGTGAGTACTACGTTCACTCTGCTTGGCAGGTACACCCTCATGAACAAAAAGGATTGTTCCATTTATTCTAAAATCAATTCCTTCTTATCACTATCGATTCCGTACCAAACTTCCGTTATAGGCACCATTTTAGTTCACTACTCGGGGTCGAAGAGCTTCAGTAGGCAAATATCGTAACCGAACAGTAGAATCTCGCTGCTAGAGAAATAAAGAAATCAATCTATTCACCCTTAATGGTGAATATACTACAACCACATAACCACAATGTGACATGCGGTAAGAAATACAGTACAATAGTACTGTTTGGTTCATCACAGTTAAGGGTGCGATAAAACATTGGGGTGATGAGAAATCATATACAAGGATATATATATGTATATTGAATTTTGCCCTTAATGTTTTGTTCTTAAATATCCTCAACCATTTTCAAAGTTCGCACCTCAAACAGTAGCAGTATTTAAAACTTTCACAAGACCCAAACCAGTTATGTTTGTCTTTATACATTAAAATTTACCAATTCCGAAAAATGGCAATCTCTAAAATATTCCCATTATTTAAGCAATGGCTTTCATTGCTTTTTCAATAACTTTGCTCCTTAAAAACATGAACCTGATCGGGTGGTGAGATATCCATGAAACTGGACGATTTTGATACCTAAGTCATTGGTTGCCGCTAGATACCATAAATACAAAATACTGATAAGTACGAGTTTTTCGCTGCTTCTGCTTATCAGCCAGTTTTGCGGTTTAGAATGAACAGGAAGTCGTCTATCAATCAGAAGCTCAGCAGTACGGGGTTGTTGGTAGAATCAAGAACAGCTCTGTACGGGAAAACATCTAGCGTCACAAGGAAGGCAGTACAAAAAGCTACAAAAGGGCGTGTGGTGTATGCGTTACTTTCGCTACCAAAACTGAATACTTCTTCTGCTCCAGCACTACTACTTTGGGCTATTTTCTTTAAACTGAGCCATTTACCAGCATTAACTATTTGTATCCTAAGATGTAATTGATTGTTCACAGTAGCATTTTTGCCTGTTACACCAACTCGAATTAATTCTAAAACAAACAGTGAACATAAATACAGATTGAATTGATTCACTAGTGATCTCTTTCTGGCTCAATTATGGGCCCCGTTTTCCTCAGTCATACATTCCAACAGAATGGTTTTGAGTTTCAATGTGGAGTAATTAAAAAGAATGTGGATTATCGTGAATGTGTACTTCAATGTAATTTTCCGGCCATGCCGAGTTTCCTCCTTCAAATTGGAGCTGGGTGAATCTGCACAGTGTAATTGTGCATTTGACCAGTGTGTTCGCGGTCATCTCTGTCTACGCTTAGTTTCTGCTATTGACACATCTGTGAATACACCGGTCTCTATCTACTTTCAAGGTCATCTTCTCGATCAACTTTCTACATCCTCCAAAAAAATGGGATATTGTCCAAAGTAATAAAAATGTATTGAGTTTAATTTGTTCACGCAATTCATTTTGATCTGTCCAATAGTGCTGCATTTCATTGTGAATGTACACGATCTAGCGCAACCCACCGTTGCGAGCTTAATGCGAGCATCACACCTCACGCATATTAGCAGTGACCTCGATTGGAAATTTTCACAACCTGATTCATATACACGATANACACCCTAATAAACTCCTCCACTACTATCACACAATATTCGTAATCCTATCGGAGCCTTGGGCGGTTAGTCAGTTGAAGTCCCGGGCCTTCAGTTTACAGTTATCATGA